CCCAGTTTACCACTAATGCTGGGAAGAGAAGAGATTAAGATACAAAAAAATGCTGAATTTTGAACTTGGCTCAGTGATTCTTTTTTCCATGTGCACAATCATTGAGCTACCTTCACCACCTAAGATTTTAAAACCGTTTTCTCCTTAAATGATTGCCTCTTATTTACCTGTAACCAATGGAATGTGATGGCTTCTTTCCCCTTCAGATGCCATTTGTTATGCCTTCTTTTTTCTTCTAAACACTTAATCTTTTCCAATAAATGTTCAAATTTATTGCATATGCCAGGTAAGGACAGATACTGTATACCAAATCTCCATTTTGAATATTACAGAATATATTCTGAATGACATTGAATCTATATGAGATTCTTTTCTCTTCATTCATTTGAAAATTCTTGGACTATAAAAAGCTATTTTATTTATTACCTATGGCAATTGAGTTGCTCTTGCTTTTATCTTTCCAAACAATCTGGAAGGTCTTCTTTTGGCATCACACTCAGTTGCCTCATTTCAATCTTATTAATCCTTAATCTCAACCAATGGAAATTTTAGCATTTAGAAAAGCCAGAATTCAAAGGAACCCAAGCAGGGCTTATGGACCTGAGATGATTTGTGTCAAAAAACTTAGTATGAGCTGTCATGGTGAACGCGAAGGCCACAATGCACAAAGCTCACATTTAACTGAGAAACCCGACAAGAAAGTGCCTGTTCACACCTAAGGTATTCTCTAATTGATTACCAAATTACAATAAACCTGTGCAAATGGTTATCAAGATATTAAAAATGACCAGATTTATTCCAGATATTTACATATATATATATATATATATATATATATATATATATATAGTGATTTTCCAAGAATAGCTTAGATGTGGCACAAGGCCGAAAGTATGGGGCACCCAGTGAGGATCGAACTCATTACTCAGTAGTAATTGTTCTAGTGAGACAAGCTTTTTAAACATTACACTGCCTCGAGGTGCCTATATATATAAATTTTTGTCTTAAAATAATTGTTGGACTTTGTCCATTTCATAATGTATGACGTCATTTGTTTACATTTGATACACCATGAGCAGATATGAATGTATGTGAGAGATTCATGAAAGATTGAAGTTTAAATACAGTAAATTCAACATTGCTAACCGAACACTTCTTCGTAGCCAAATTAGTAAAGGCATGTCAAGCTAAATGACGGTTCCGTATAGGATACAGGTTCGAATCGAGGACTAATATTTTCTGTGAAAATTTCTCAGACATTCAGGCCGGTAAATGTTGTTTAATACTGTTTATCATAAACAGAGTATTTACTTAAATATTTGTATCTATAAAAAGTATACATAACATAAAAATATCTTAAAACATATATAATAATATATATATATATATATATCAATCAATAGATATATTTTCTTCTGACAGAATTATCTTTAAAAATATAATGCAATATTATCAGTCATAACCTGGCATCTTGTCTTCAGTCTCTTTGCCACTGCCATAACATAACTTCTTTTTGCCTTTTCTATCAATATTTTCATGGCAACTAATCTGATGAGGTTTCCTCTTTCATACCTCAAATTCACAAATTTAAGTACAGTACTAGATCAGCTGATAGGTCTCATTATACTACTGTTGAAATTGCAAGATGAAACTGTACGTTTTATTCTGGTAGTTTCTTTGCTCTTACATCTTGCCCATGGAACACTCTTCCAGCATCTTACTTTCCTGTAGACTACATACCTTCAAAAGTTTAAATGCATCATCATTTTCTGTTTCCTTGAATACTGTTCTGTTATTTTCCACTCTCTTCAATAACATTTTCTCACATTCAGTAACATCTTGCATCTTAGTGGCTTTATTGCCTTGGTAATTAAAAAAAATGTGTACATTTTTGCCACTGGTTTTAAAAAGCAACTGTTAAAATTATTCTCTTTTGTTTCATAGTTGTCTTTCCTGTTCAACCAAAAAAAAATGACTAAGAATCTTGCAGTCCATTGATCGTTGTCTCATGAATAAAGATGACCTCAATTGCATGATGATTTTGATCCATTTTATTATGAATATTAATGGAATGATTTCAGTAATCAAGATAGTTATTTAGTTTAAATCTGTTTAAAATTATCCTCCAGCATTGTCAGTCAAAAGAAACGTGGATGTTTTAATCTGGTCACTGAGCACCATTTGCTGGATTACCTGATAAGAATATCCCATCCATTCATCTTCAAGTGGTGTGGATTGAGCACAAACGTATTTTTAGAGTCAGACTTGCATCAAGAACCTGGAACCAAAAATCAAGATTCATCCTCTTCTTGCTTGCAAACTGAGGTCAAATGCACTTTTGAACATTACACCCAGTTTGAGTTGAATTTTTGTGAAAGCCAACAAAAGGGAATTCTGTTATCCATATCAGACAGGCATAATATCTGGTCACCTATGAACAGGATTTTACCATTTTTTAGTTTTTCTAACTGACAAATTGGGAATTAACAGGTCGAAAGTAATTTAAACAAAAATTCAAATTAAAATATTCTTAAAATCAGAGATTTCAAGGGTGCATAATGGGGAAAGAAGTCTTAGAAAACTTGACAATCACAGGAAATATTTTAGGCAAGAGGAAGCATCTTGATGTGGTCTACTCATTAAAAGCTTGTCTTGCTAGAACAGCTACTACTAAGTAGTTTGATCCTCACTGGGTGTTCCACACTTTCAGACTTGTTCTACATTTAAGCTATGCTTAGAAAAGGCAAGAAGGACAGAAAGAAAGCAGTGCATAACCTACCTAACAAGTTTGCTTATGGAAGGCAAAAATGGTCATTTATGGTGATTAAAAGGTTTCATTTTGGAATTGTTAAAATTTACAAGTCATTTCTTGCCCTAGTTAACAACAGATTTAAGGCCAGTTTTGAGGTCAACTGCCAATTTGACTTTATCAATTAAATTCTATTATTTCATAATTACACATTTCCTTGCAGGTCATAAGACACGATTCATTTCAAATTGTGCCAATAATGGTCCAAGAAAAAAATGTGGATAAGAGTATGAGTAATTCACAAAATATTATTGTCAGAGCACCTCCCTTCAACAAGAGTCAGCAGTAAAACATGAATGTCATATGGAATTAATATATCCAAAATGGTTTGTTGTGTTTGCATGTCAAGATTGTAATAACAGTAGTTGTTATGCTTTTGTTTTTTATCCCCTGAAAGGTTTTGACTGAAGAGTGATTTATCAAGCCAGTTGTTTATTTTCTGAGATGAGGTATTTACACTATTACAACATTCAGACTGTTGTCCTCATCTTTATTGCCATATTCTCAATGTTTTGAATGCCTTTATTCACTGAGCCATGTGTCCTTGGTTAAGTAATCCAAAAAGTAACTTGACCTAAAGAATTGTGAATTCAGTACCTGGCCACAGCAAAGGGAACAAAAAGTTGGAGAATTGAGTTATTAAAGAGAATTAATTGAAACTGAGATATCCAAAGATGGCATGGCATATGGACTAAATAAAGGGTTCAGTTCAAAATTCTAACATATATTACCTGAAGAAGGTTGTGGTGTACAATGGCCAAAACTTTGTAAATATGGCAATAAGGATGAAGACAACACTCTGAATGATGTAAACAGTGTAAATAAGATTGTATCTATTTGGAGGTTTGTAATGGCTATCTTACATGTATAAGAAGATCACAGGTGATATCTGTTGTAGTTTTTTGTGTATATATATATGTACTAGTGAGTTAGTCCAAATGCCTTAACTCACTTTATAGTCCACCAATAGAAGGTTAACCAATCAGAAGATGTAGAACATTCAATCCGTCATGTATAAAGGCGGCCATTTTGTTTACTCTATCTGAATGTCCAGTACCAGCTTGTCAGGCGAAGAGAAGGGAGAACTACGCTCTGCTACTTTTACCAAAATATCCACTGCTAACCTGAACAACGCTTCCCTACTGTCTTCGAAATATTCACTGCTAACCTCTGGATTCTATACTTGAAGACAACCGTCATGATAAATAACAATATCAAGGATGTAAATGGAGTCAGAAGACATTGTGGAATTGCTTGAAAAAGCAAGGAATAATATTTGGCAATTTATCAAAGATATTGTAATCAAAACTATAACCAGTAGAGAAGCCACAATTTACAGTTTGACAAGATGAGTTGTTTGGATTTGATAACCTATTGGCTGAGAATCTTAAACCTTGGCTTCTGAAAGTGAACATTTCTCCCAGCCTTCATTCTACCACTCCATTGAATATGGAGATCAAAGAACCATTGGTCTGTGATGTACTCAACATTTCTGGTTTCACTTACCTGTTAAAGATGATCTAATGATTAATGGTATCAACAATTCATTAATAACAAACTTAACAGAAGAATTTTAGTTATAATGGCGACCAAAATATATTTAGCTGAGCATTGTCAGAAGTTCTGATCAAAACAAGAAAGATGAAGATAATTGTCTGAAGAATTTGTTAAAAAAATAAGCAACTTTGTCTCAGAGTATAAACAAAGGAATTGTAGTTCCTGAGAAAATTAAATGGAAACTTATATATTCAGAGTTAGGAGCAGGTGAGCTTAGCTAAGGAGATCTTTTTGGTTCGTTGTTTTTGTTTAGTGGCATATCAACCTCTATGGGTTATTTAATCTAAATATTTATATGAAATTTAATTTTTGGAGATAATAATAGTTTAGTAATGAAAATATTACTAATTAATCCATAACGGGGGGAGAAGAGTTGAATTCTTAATTTTCCCAAATATATTTGTGCATAATTGAATATAATGAACCTGATTGAAATTGGTACTCAGCTCTTGGATTAACAATTCTGACTCATTATCCATTACACAACTCACATATCCAAGCTTATAGCACCTAGTATTCCAAAGTGGCCACCCATCTAGCTACTGACCAGGCACAATGTTGCTTAACTTCAGTGATCACATGGTGTTGCAACATGATGAGGCCATAAACCAAGAAGTTCAGGTACACTATAAAGATGAAAATTCTATTAGAGAAAAAGAGCCAGTTTAGATTCATTCTCTCTCTCTCTCTCTCTCTCTCTCTCTCTCTCTCTCTCTCTCAATGTTACTGTCTCCTCTCTATCACCATTGCTCTCTCATACATTCTCACTCTATCTTTCTCTTTTAAATTAGGATTTAGTTTTTGGATTTTCAAGCCTTTTTTTTATTATGATGACATTCTAATTTATTCATATTTTGCTATCTTCTCATACTTAATCTATACATCCAAAAAAATTATTTTTTTTTTAAGCATTTCACTCCAAGCAAGGTGGGAGTCCCACTAGCATGCAAGTGGTTACAGAGAGTGGGAACAAGAGTAAAGAGGCATGATAGAGGAAAGAATGAAGAGAAGAATGGGGAATAGATCAAGGCATCTGGAGATGTCATTTGACATTACATTTGAATATTTGGAGATTATAGCTATCAGGGAAGCAAATAAGAGAAAGGGAATTCCACAGATAGGAAGTGTGAGACATGAAGCTATTGGAGTAGAAGAGACGGCTATATTTAAACATTTCAACAATAAAAGGGTGAGAGATGCCAATCTAGTAGAACATTTAAATTCATGCTTGGAAACAATGAAAGTAGCTTGTCTGAGCAGTTACTATGAAAGTATTTGAAGAAAAGACAGAGAGAAGCGAAAACATGTCTGTGAGAGAGCGGCTGTAAATGAGATGCCAGATCAGGGCATATCTGTCACTGGATTTTTGTACTCTTTCATGAAAGAGATTAGGATTGATTTTTTAATAACTTATTTTTCTTTTATTTAAAAGGAACATTTAACAAGTATATTGAACTTCATTCTTGTCCACATTCTCTGTAACAAGAAATGAGTAGATCTTGAACCTTTTTTTCTGTTATTAATATTTAAGAATTCAGTTTTAAAAAGTATAACTGAGGGTTACCCCAGTTGGCTTCATGAAATGCCTATTAGGTAGCACTGTTTAAATCTATAAAAGGACAAACATTTCCTTCCTCTTTCTCTTTCTCTTGCTTCAAGATATCCACAGGGATCTACGCTGGGGCACATTTGGTTCCCCTGGTTGACTGACGACTGAACTGTTACACACACATGGACACACATGTGTATCATGCACACAAACAAGCACATTCTTAATAGTTTTTAATGCCTTCCTTTCAGCTGTGTACACGTTAATGTAATTTCTTTTTGTTAATACATGCAATAATTGTTTGTTTAAAAATCCATTGTTACTTATCTTTGCCCAGAATCACATGAGTCCACCAAATGTTGTTTGTGGGATAAATTTTCCAGGAGCCATTAAATATTTACTGAAAAACGTTCACACCCTGTAACAAAAGAGATGATCACCCTAGATGATGCTAATTTTATTAGTTGTAGCTAACAGGGGTGTCAAAATCAAGTAAGTGCAAATATTCAACTATGTACAGATATTCAGCTGTAACCCAGAGGACAGAATGTGTGATATAGAAATCTTGTGGCAGATACAAATAGCAAAAAAGGCTGATCAGAATATGAGTAAAGTAACAAGAGACTGATTAAATAATATTAGGAAAAAATTTTTTAAAATTACCTCATGTAAGGCAATAAAGACACTAAGACACAAGGGTGTGAAAGAATTAGAAAACAGAAGCATTGTTGAGGATCAAGAAAAATAGAAGAGTAATCAGTAAATAAGAATTTACATTGCATTTAAATTCCAGATCAAAGTTGACTGGAAAGTATGGAGCCAGAAAAGTGTTCCACAAGCAATAAGTGTGAGAAAAGAAACATAGAACTTACAATTATATCTAGCCAACACATCTGTAAACTGACAGGACCTAGTACTATGCTTAAATTCATAAAATTTAGGTATCATAAGAAAGAGTTTGCCTGAATAATTAACATGAAAGTATTTCTAGAAAAGAAATAGGGAAACAACTTCCCAGCAATGAAAAACTGAGTGAAGCTGAGATTCCATGTCAGCATCAAAAATATTGCTGATTCTCCTTCGGATTTTATCAAGAATCTCTAAATATAAAGCAGGAACACTGGACCATATGTGGTGGCAATATTTGAGGCATGGGTGATTGGCTGACATAGATATGTAAGATAGATTCTAGCATGAAACAGTGAACCAACCTTCCTAGCAGCTGACCTAGCAATGGATTCAATATAGTCTTTCCACTTTATGTCAGCTGAGAACGTTAACTCAAGAAGACATAAGGAGTCATTCTCTTGGAGGTTGTTAATAGAATGAAGTCAGAAAGGGGTCTCTCAGGTGATTAATAGAGAGCAATTTTGTTTTGGAGATGTAAAAAGACATCTTTTGCAAAAGTTAACAGACTGTAGGTCTTTTTTGAAATCAGCCATCAATTTGACCTTCATCAAAAATTGTAAAGTAGAATACCCACAACTTTTCTTTGTTCATATTGCCTTCGATGTATCCTGTAAGTGTTAGATTTTTTAAAATACTAATATTCACTGTCTATATTTCTAAGAGGAGGTATTGTAATTATTTACATTGCTCAGACTGTTGTCCCCATCTTTGTTGCTATATTCGCAACATTTCTGCCATTGTACACTCCAGCCTTCTTCAGGTGATTGGAATTTTGAACTGAAACCATTATTTCATCCATAGATTAAATATTGTTCTAGTTCAAAATGCCATGCCTCTCCTGGATGTCTCAGTTATCTCCTTGACCCAGTGGATAAAAACCTTGGTTGAATCTAGTGACTTGACCTAATAGGTTGTGAATTCAATACATGGCTACAGCTGGGGTGAACTTGGAGATTTGAATTTAAGGGAGTTAACTGTTGCTGAAATATCCTGAAAATTGAAATTCCAAACACCTGAAGAAGTCTGGAATATACCATGGCCAAAATGTTGTGAATATGGTAATAAAGATGAGAACAACAATGTGAATAGTGTAAATACTATGTCCATCCAATACAATACCCAAGAACCACCCAAGGTAGAGGATTACTATCTAGTACTGTATGAGTGTATGGAAAAGACAAGTTTATTGAGTTAGCAACAAAGATACAGGTTAACTTTAGATTTGAAGATGTCAAGATTGTAGTGATTGGCAAAATATCCTGCTGTCACACAAAGCAGCTGTTCTTGAAAAGAATCTGAGTGGAACTTCCTCTTTACTAATGGAATAAGAAGAGAATGGGACTGATTAATCACTTATGTTGCTCACCTTTAATAATCTAGGACATTACAATACATTTCTATGACATATGTTAACATAATTTGAACTAAAAAATATGTGTGGAACATAAATAAAATATATATAATGAAATAACATTGTTTTAAGCTGCATGTATATCTATTGCTAGTGATCTCATTAGCTCTTGGTAGATGAGATGACTAAGCATAAGATTGTTTCTCACTTTTGGTACTCAGAAGCAGCAGCAAATCAGGGGAAGAAAGAAAAAAGAAACTTATTCTTCTCTCATGCTGTTTGCTTCATATGTAGAAGGCAAACAACATAAGTCGAAACAAGATTAATGGAGATTACGTCATAACTATGAATCGTCGTAGACTGTGACTGTCATAACCTTGGGAGTTACTGTATTCGAAAACAGGTGGCCAGCAAATATTGAGATGAGTCATTAACAGTCCAAGAACTTTTGGGCTATTGATCTCATTCTCTTTGTGGTTTTTCATAGCAGCACTTCATTTCGTTCAAGCCACACTTTTTCTCAGATGAATATCCCGCTGTTTCTCTGTCAGGCAGGCCCCATTTTCTGCTTGGCTCTACCCCAAAACAGTAATCACTATCAGGAACTATACAAGAAATGATTAGTCTAATGATTCTTTGAATATCAACCAGATATCTAGATATTTTTTTTTTGTAATATTTCATGATAGTACGTAATTGGTTAGGACAATATGATGAAAGCTGATGAAAAGTTTGCCAAAAATTTAGATTCAACAAAAACATATCAGGTCAAATCAAAATTTAAATTTAATAAAATAAAATAGGTTGCAACTTTTTAAAATTATTGAAAAATTGAGTGCTCCATTCTTTCGGCCTTGTACCACTTCTAAGTTATGTTTATTAAATTGATATATTCCACAGGCATTGGCACTTCAATGCTAGATCAATTATGACTGAGTGCTCCACACTTTCCACATTGTGCCACATTTAAGCCATGCTTAGTAACTTGGTATATTACAGAGCCATGGGTACTTCAGCATGGTCTAATGGTAAGTAAGCTTATCATGCTAGACCAATTATGACTGAATAGTCAGTTGATTATCACTGGGTGCTCCATACTTTTAGTCTTGTGCAACATCTAAGTTATGCTTAGCAAATTGCTATACGCAACTATAGCTGGAAATAATGACTATTTTCAAATATAAATTTTTATATAATGTTATATTCTGTGCTAATAGGAATATATACTTGAAAAACAAGGTGGATAAAATAAGTAAAGGTTTATTGTAAAAAACCAGTACAATAAGAATAAAGGTAACAGTTATGCAAAAGGTTGTTGCAAGTCAATCCAGTTGTGAGTGCTACTATTGAGGGTTCACTAGTTCTTGCGTAAGCCTGAGTTGTACTCAACAGACCCCAGCTAGTCTCTGTAGTCCGTTAACTTACAGATACTTATAGTGTAGTCACTCATGGGGGTGAAAGGTTACTCCATTACATCATATAAAAAACCTGCATACATATATATATATATATGTTTTTGTGTGTGTGTGTGTTAGTTAGTGTGTGTGTCTATGTGTGTACATGTGTGTATATGTGAGTGTGTATTGATGGTTGTACTAGAACAGGTTCATTGTATCATTCCAGCAAGTATCTGATTCTTCCTGCTATACTCTATCTTCACAAGAACCAGATTAAATGAAAAATGAAGAATTGTTACAGTATTTGATCTGGAGCTGCACAATCCTCACTTGCCTGTCTTAACAGAGTCCAAAAGCATCTTTGCACACTTGTGGGTGATGAGATATTTTCCACTCTACAACCCCTTTCCCACAGATGAATCATCACAAACCTTTCACTATTCTATCAACGAGCTACATTCCTTAATCTTTTTATCCCTGACATTTACAACGAGGACCTGTCATGTCAGGGAAACATGTGTGAATCACTCCCATTCTCTTCTTATTTCATTAGTAAAGAGGAAGTTCCACTCAGACATATTCTTCTCAAGAATATCTGCTTTGTGGGACATGTTGGAATTTTTGAGTACCCTGGTGTACTAGTGAGCCAGCCAAAATGAGCTGACTCATTTTATAGTTCACCAATAGAAGGGTTAACCAATCAGAAGGCTCAAAATATTCAATGCGATGTGTATAAAAGCTGCCATGTTTTTCCCAAATATTCACTGCCAGCCTTTGATATCAAAGACTGAAGAATTACGGAACAGCTGGTGGTGGTATTGGCAATATAGGCAGATTCAGTAGAGTGTCTGACTTGTGAGTATTAATCTTTAACGTTGCTTCATTGAACAGAATACGTACTGCACTGTATTCTATATTCATAGACTATGGTGATCATGGTCAACAGGACAAACTCTCATCAGGATGTTTTCCCAATCATTACAATTTTGACCTCTTCAAATCTAAGGTTAACCTTTATCTTTCTTGCACAACTCTATAAACTTGTCTTTTTCATGGACTACAATGGATGGCCCAGACAGCTGGCAAAATGAGTGATGCTTGATGGAAGACCTTGGTCGGCTTGTTGGGATCCATTTCTATCAGGTTTTAGTCACCATTTGAGTGTCAGGATTCCAAACAATTAACAACAGTATTAACAACAGCAACAACAACATATCTTTTAAACAAAACATAAAAGAGGTTATTCGCTGAAAGAAAAGTAGTAGCAAAATGTTAGTTGAAATAACATTTATATATTCTTTTCAAAAATATAGAATAGTAATAAAATGTTCAATTTTCCCTACAGTGAAGTTTATGCTATAAAGTAATTAAGTGTTCTTAGGGTGGTGTGAAATGTGTGGACTTTATGATGGTCAACCTAATGTGTTTGTGAGTTCATAGACAAAAGACTTAGTTGGCGTCTACTGGTTAATCCCTTCTGTAATATGTGGGTAAGGTCTTAGTCAACTGTGACTGGCTGTCATCTCTTCCATTGTTTGTGGGTGCATGTGTGTATGCACTTGTAAATCAAACTGTCCACTGAAATTGTTTTGAGCCTAGAGAAGCAGTACACTTCCATTTTTATATCCATAAGGGGATACAAAATTTAATGTCACATAGAGGTGTGAACTTTTTAAATACAAGGTTTTCATTAGAAAATAATTTAACACTGACTTACAAAAATCTTTTTCAAAAATTGCAGGAGTGGTGAAGAGAGTTATTATTGTTACTTTCTAAACAGTCTAAAAATAATCTGTGGTATGTCTACAACTACATCTGCATGTATTTTGGTGGTATTTGCCTGAGTAATTACTGTTTATAAAACAATCTTACTGATGGAATTTTATTGGTTGAAAAATATATATATGATTTAAGTGTCAGGGAAGAAAAGGAGGGCTTTTGTTTTGGACAGGAACCCTCAGTGATGAGTTGGTTATTCTTCGGAAATTAATTGATGAATTTAAAATGATTTCTTCTAAATAGATTGAATCCCAAAGACAAGCCTTTCAATATAGCTTAAGATGACAGGGACATTCAAACACTAAATATATTTTCATGCGCAAGTGCATCTAATGAATACTTACCTAAATTAAGATTTTAAAACCGTCATGTTCCTGGATTGAAACCTCATCTTTGGAATATTGTCAAAAGGCATGTTTACAACAGGCAATTTTTATCCCAAATTGAACTCTAAGAAGAAATATTAGCTTTTTTACAAAGTATAATTTCTGAAGAAATTCTCAAATTAATTTCTTCTATTTCTTCTATAGATAGTAGGCAGCTTCAAGTGGTTAAATCGAATGAAATTAATTTCTTCAATTTCTTCTATAGACAGTAGGCAGCTTCAAGTGATTAGATTGAATGAAATTATTTTAATAAATGTTATTGGCTCAGAAAAGTGTAATCTGAGAATCGAGTTCAAATTTTCAGTTGCATTTACTTTCACATTAATACCTTTGGAAAAGGTATGAATCCATTTCTTTTCCCCATTTCCAGCTATGGGTTAAATAGCTGAATAAACTTTAGCTTTTGGTAGCAATCAGTCTAACAGAAGAAAATATTGAATTGAAACTGTGAAGAAAGTAAAGGGGGAACTGTCTTCTCTCTTTCCCAATAATGTATTGTAATTCATAGTTAATAAAATACTGGAATCTTTGGAGAGTTATGGCCCCCTATGTCATAAAAGAACATGGCATCTTTTGTTTTTTAAATAAGTAAATAATATTAAGTTTTCTGTTTTGTTATTGCATCCAGCTTGTCATGAGTCATTTTGTTTGCCATTTCTTTGAATAAATTATTGCTGGCTTTGTCATTGGCTTTCATTTTTATCCTTACATAGCTTTACATTGAATTTTTTAGATGACTGCATAAAATATGGAAAAGTTTAAAAATATTATTTTATATCTGAAGAAAATGTTCTTTTCTTTAATTCTTTCTTAATATTTGCTCTTTTCTTTCTTTCCTTTTTTCTTTCTTTCGCTACTTTTTATTTATGTATTGATATTCATAATCTTATGTTCCTTTTTACTTTGTAATATTTCTTCTTAATATTTCTGTAGTCTTTCTTTGTTTCTTTGTTTCTTTCTTTCTTTCTTAATATTTCTGCAGTCTTTCTTTTTTTCTTCTTAATATTTCTGCAGTCTTTCTTTTTTTCTTTCTTTCTTTCTTTCTTTCTTAATATTTCTGCAGTCTTTTTTTTTTCTTCTTAATATTTCTGCAGTCTTTCTTTTTTTCTTTCTTTCTTTATTTCTTCTTAATATTTCTGCAGTCTTTCTTTTTTTCTTCTTAATATTTCTGCAGTCTTTCTTTTTTTCTTCTTAATATTCCTGTAGTCTTTCTTTCTTTCTTTCTTTATTCTTAATATTTGTGCAGTCTTTCTTTTTTTCTTCTTAATATTTCTGTAGTCTTTCTTTCTTTCTTTCTTCTTAATATTTCTGCAGTCTTACTTTTTTTCTTTCTTAACATTTCTGCTGTCTTTTTTCTTTCTTTTTTCTTTCTTTCATTCCTTCTTTTTTCTTTCATTCTTTCTTTCTTTCTTTTTAATATTTCTGCAGTCTTTCTTTTTTTCTTCTTAATATTTCTGTAGTCTTTCTTTCTTTCTTTTTTTTTCTTTCTTTCTTTCTTTCTTTCTTTCTTTCTTTCTTTCTTTCTTTTGTCTTAATATTTCAGCAGCCTTTCTTTCTTCTTAATATTTCCCAAGTCTTTCTTTCTTGAGATTTTGACTTTATTTATTTATTAACATTTTTTCTGTTTATTTTTGTTTCACAATCTTTGTACCCTTGCTTTCTTTCTTTTTTCTTTCTCTCTTTCTTTGTTTCACTCTTTCTCAATGTTCATACTCTTCCTTCTTTGCATTTTTCTTTCTTAACATTTTCTTAGTCTTCCTTTCTCTCTTTCTTACTCAATATTTGTTCTTTCTTTCTTTCTTTCTTTCTTTCTTTCTTTCTTTCTTTCTTTCTTTCTTTCCTTAAATATTTCTTTAATCTTACTTTATATCTTTATTATTTATTTTCTATTTTTGTGTTTATTATCATATTTGTAATTTTTATATATAATAACACTATAATAACCATATTCACACACATATATGTATAGAGGGAGACAAAGTGTTATTTAGTGTTGCTTTGTCTGTTCAGTAGGGGCTTTGGCTATGATGTGGAAGGGTTATATTTCTTTCATGAAAACCATCAGTAATGAGTTGGTTAGGCCTTGAAAGGGAAACGATAGTGTTAAAATGACCCCTTCTGCCGAAGAAGACAGTGACATGCAAACAAAAAATGATTATCATGCGCAACATTCCAGCTCATATTATTAGTGAAGCATATGAACACTGATGAAAATTAGTAGTTGAAAATAACAGTCTTATGGTGTGGCCATTATGTTTCATGGATCAAAACCCCATTGAGAACTTTTGCCACATTGTCAAAAGGTAAGTTCATGAAAGCTGTAAGCTATTTTTATCCAAAATTGAATTTTGGAAAGCAATATTAACATTTTTCTTAGTGATTACCTCTAAAGAGATTTTTGAATTAACTTTTGCACATAATAAACTCCTTCAGAGAATGGTAATTATATTAGTGAATAATATTGCTTTTTCTGTTTTGTTACTGCATCCAGTTTGTCAAGGGTCATTTTGTTTCTTATTTCTTTGAATAAATTATTGTTGAGTTTGTCATTGGCTTTCATTTTTATCCTTGCATAGCTTTATATTGAGTTTTTTAGATGACTGCATAAAATATAGAAAGGTTTAAAAATATTATAGTATATCTGATCAAAATGTTCTTTTCTTAACTTCTTTCTTAATATTTTCTCTTTTCTTTCTTTCTTTACTTTTTATTTATATATTTATATTCGTAATCTTGTTTTTCTTTCTTTTTTTTTAAATATTTATGTGGTCTTTCTTTATTTATTTATTTCTGCTTAATATTTCCTAGGTCTTTCTTTCTTCTTAATATTTCCAAGGTCTTTCTTTCTTTCTTCTTAATATTTCCTAGGTCTTTCTTTCTTCTTAATATTTCCAAGGTCTTTCTTTCTTTCTTCTTAATATTTCCTAGGTCTTTCTTTCTTCTTAATATTTCCAAGGTCTTTCTTTCTTTCTTCTTAATATTTCCTAGGTCCTTCTTTCTTTCTTCTTAATATTTCCTAGGTCCTTCTTTCTTTCTTCTTAATATTTCCTAGGTCTTTCTTTCTTCTTAATAATTCCTAGGTCCTTCTTTCTTTCTTCTTAATATTTCCTAGGTCCTTCTTTCTTTCTTCTTAATATTTCCTAGGTCTTTCTTTCTTCTTTCTTTTTTAATTCCTAGGTCCTTCTTTCTTCTTAATATTTCCTAAGTCTTCTTTCTTTCTTCTTAATATTTCCTAAGTCTTTTCTTTCTTCTTAATATTTTTCTTTCTTTTTTTTAATATTTCCTAGGTCTTTCTTTCTTCTTAATAATTCCTAGGTCCTTCTTTCTTTCTTCTTAATATTTCCTAGGTCTTTCTTTCTTTCTTTCTTCTTAATATTTCCTAGGTCTTTCTTTCTTCTTAATAATTCCTAGGTCCTTCTTTCTTTCTTCTTAATATTTCCTAGGTCTTTCTTTCTTTCTTCTTAATATTTCCTAGGTCTTTCTTTCTTTTATCTCAATATTTCCATGGTCTTTCTTCTTAATATTTCTGAAGTCTTTCTTTCTTGAGAGTCCGACTTTATTTATTTATTTATTAAGATTTCTTCAGTTTTTCTCTGTTTCTCAGTATTTGTACTCTATTCTTTCTTTTTCTCTTTCATTCATTCATTCTGTCTCAATATTCATACTCTTCTTTCTTTCTTTCTTTTTTTCTTTCTTTCTTTCTTCACATTTCTTTACATGGAAAGCTTTAAAAACTTTTTTTTTTAATTCGTATTCAAGCATCAATTCTATTTCAGTTTATAGCCTAAAATTTTGGAATATTCCACTTACACAAAATAATTATATTTGACCAAAATTGCTTTACCTTCTTATTTTTCTTCTGTGTAACATATTCCTTCAGAGTGTAAATGATCATGGCTCTCCATACCTTACTCTCCATTATAGCTCCTACAAAGCTTTGTCCCTTCACCATCCATACCACACAGCATTCTGCCATCCATTCACACAACTTCATTGGGTAGTTTACTCATTTTTTACTTCTGTCCATCTTGCCCTTCAGTATGCCCCATGCATGTCAAATTCACCGAGTTTGCCTTCCACATTATGTATCTTAGTCATTTCAACTGTCTCTTTCTGGGTTCTAAGTATAAGTGTTCTTTTTGTATTTATTTTCCATGAAACTTCCTTGTTACTTACATTTTTGGTGCATGATATTCTCAGCATCCTTCTGTAGAACATTTCTGGTGCCTTGTTTCTTCTTCATCTGTGAGGAGATTGTCCAGCATTCATTCATATATGAGATTAGATATTACATAGCATTTTATCACCCTTTTCTTTGTTTCTAATTAAATTTGCCTGTTTGCTTAGCTTTTCAGATTTTCTGTGTTACAATTTCCATTCTTTTCCAAGATATTGCTTGATTCTCATATCTCCATATTTTTTATTTTGGGCTGTTCCTCATGTCATTCTGTAGTTTGATGATTACAAGCATACTGTAGTACTTCTAAGTTACTGTAAATTCTAATAGAACAATAAAAACAAGTTGTACTTCTACTCAGACTATGACAATATTAACATCCAGAAACTAATTATCAAATTGTTTGTATAGACAGCTTGGATAATAGTTCAGTGATCACATTTGAATGAATACTGTAAGAAAACAGAATGTATGGTTGCTAGCAAAAGGGACAACCCAATGTGTGAGCTATATATTGGGGATGTTGAAATCAAGTAATCCCAGATGACAGAAAATGGTAGATAAGAACAGTGAAAGTGCTTTCTAGAGAATATGCAAAGTATTAAGAGACAAGAAAATGTACTTAGAAATAAAGAAATGAGATGTGAACAATTATGCAATATATAACTTCCTATATAGCATTGACTTATGGACAATCTGATCAGAGATGAAAATTTCTGGAAATGATAATGATGTGGTTTTACCTATATATGATGAGAAAATCATGGACACAAGATGTGAGAAATGAGAAAGTTTGAAAGAAAATGCAAGGAAATTGATGATTACACATAGAAAGAGATAGTTGGAACACCTAATGAGGAAAGAAGGTTTGGAGAATTTAATACTTGTAAGGCATACTGTATGTGATAGGAAACAGCAAGTAACATACTTGAGAATTTTGTGTGAATGGGTGGTAAAACAGGAAAAGTAGATGTTAAAGGGTTAAAAGGGCAACTAAAAAGTGGTAGTTATGGAGAGCTGACATTTTGAAATGACATGGAACATAGAAGAAGAAGTAGAAAAAAAGAGAAAAACAAAGAAAAGTGAACAAGAAGAAGAAAAGAAGAAAAAGAAAATAAGAGAGAAAAAAGAAGAAAAGAAAAAGGAAAAGAAGAAGAAAAAGATAAGATGAAAAAAGGAAAAGCAGAGAAGAAGAAGAAAAAAAGAAAAGAAAAATAAGAGAGGAAAAGAAGACAAGAAGAAACAAAGAAAAAAGATGAAGAAGAAAAAAGAAAAAATAAGACAAGAAGAAAAACAAAAAAGAAGAAAAAGAAGAAAAGAAGAAGAAAAAGAAGAAGAAAGGAAAAAGAAGAAAAGAATAAGTTCATGTTTTATGTATTTTCCATTTTTGTCATTGAGAATTTTAGTCACAAACAAATCTGAAAAAAACTTTCAACACTTTCAACTGATATAACGTATTCACCTTTCGATATTATTCTCCAAGAACTCATTTATGAACTCACAAATATATTCAAGAGTTATTATTCTGAAGAGATTGATAAATATGTTTTTATTTTTGGTTCAAAAATGGCTTAAATCTGTCGTTCAAGCCTCAAATGTTGTTACTAACACCTTACAGCCAGAGGCCTCCCGTTAAAAACAAGATGGCTGCTCTTGAGAAAATTTGGTTCAGAGCCAGATTGACTTATGGGAAAATCTATTGAACTTGGCAGCTGCGTAAGTATTGAATAAATTACCTTTCGTTCTTACATAGGAATTAATCACTTTTCTTTTTATTGATAATCATCAAAGGGTAAGCGAGGGCAAATAGAAGCCCTGACAGTTGAAATATGGGACAAGGTTATAAAGATTTGAAGAGTGATTGATGGGGAAAAGAAAAAAAAATACAAGAAAGCTATGAAATTAAAGCACTTTATTTAAAGAGTCTATAATATATGTATATTTATACATATATGTGTGCATACGTATATATACCATAATTACTGGCATATAAGTCGCACATCTAAATAAAAAAAAATATGTAAATCCAATTAACTGGTATTATCAAAAGAAGGCCGGTGACCAGATTTCAAAATTGACAGCGGCAGTGCGTGAGTAAATTAGAGTGAAAACTAGTAACACATGTACACTTCTAAATTACGTGTCTTATATACCAACAAAGAAATAGACAATATATGTACTCTCTACTAAAGTAAAAATAAAATTGGGAATTTCAGAAATAAAAAATATTTGCTGCATATATTTTTTTATTATATATTTTATTATTCTGTTATCACAATGCACAATGCTTTTTTCTTATTATTTTTTACAATAGAATTCATGTTGTACAAAGCCCAAGAGCCACTCAAGGTAGAGGGTTACAGAATAAGAGGCATTGTTTATGGGGATATGAGTGAAAGTGGAAGATAACATCTAACCCGATACTTTCTGATACAAACAGGTATAAGCTGAAATTAATGTAGTATATTAATGATATAAAGATATATATGTATATCCTAAAAATTTTAACAATGTTGGTTAAAGCTAAATTAATTGTGACAAATTTGCTTTACATAAAGTCTGACATTGTTTATAATTTTCAATGAAGAAGAATAATATCTATCTCTCTCTCTCTCTCTCTCTCTCTCTATATATATATATATATATACATATATATATATATATATATATAGATAGATAGATAGATAGATAGATAGATTTTGGGCAAGATTGAGGACACATTTTCTTTATTATTATCATATAGGGAGAAAATGCGTAACTACCGATCCCAAAATTCAAGCATGACGCTCTGGACTTATATTTTTTCCGACAGGTCTTTAAATAGTGGTGTCAGGCTACTGACTGCAGTGATTATTGAGTGGAACTATCCAGTCGAATTAGTGTGAATTATTGTGCGTTGATGATTTGGGTTTTGATTTAGGATTTACTGGACGTTAAGACAAGTCGTGCTACTAACAAGGTATTCTCTGAAATGGTTAATTATTTTTGGTTGACTTTTCTTTGTTATTGTTAAGTATTTATTTGCAGTTTTAATTAAATACTGTTTTATTTTAACATTGATGTCTTGAGTTATACTTAATCATTAACGGCCACAGTACATCATAAAAATTATCTTATGTATGTAGGTGGGTGTTAGACAAAATAAATACTAAAATAAATGAAGCATCTACTCAAATATGGTTATCTACTAATAATACCTTTTGAAATTATAGATATATATGAAGAAATATAATTTTAAGGTATGCTATATTTATGGGATCAAGTGCTCAATATCAGAGATAGAGCGTATGTAAATATAAAAGTGTATATTGAAGTTAACACTCAGAGGCGACAGACTGTTTCATGCTACACAAAATCGTTAGGTAGCCTGATGATTGTGTCTTGCATGAAACAGTCTGTCACCTCTGAGTGTTGACATCAATGTTCACTTTTATCTCTCTCTTTCTCTCTCTCCATATATATATATTGATGTAATGAATATGCATACACCTGGGTTCCCCCTCACAGTAATATGATTAGCTGGTGTCAGCCATAAATACAGACTGATGTGGAGGTACAGAGGATGCCTATTGACTGTGCCTATTGTCTTCACCTATTGCCTATGCCTATTGCCTACCACTACGATGAGGACCAGTCCATTACAGTTAGCTGCTAAATTGTCCTACCCGGTTACAGTAGTCAACAACCACTTTGCTACTTTGAACAAATATATCCCTTTCCAGGACAGATCATATATATATATATATATATATATTTAAGTTACGAAAAACTTGGTAATCCATATGGGTAGTCCCAAGGAGGATGAAATCCTGAGAGCTCAATGTAAATTCAGAGCTAATATTTTAAAGAAAAACAGACCACTTTAAGGTTCCCTTGTAATAGTTTATTTCACCAGAGACCTTTTAAAGTAACCTGTATTTCTTGCTACTTTCTCTGTTAAATTACATAAACTTAATACTACCCGTCAAAAGTGTAAATTTTCATTTCATTTTTTGTTTCACATTTTGGAAGTGATGTCTGAGGATCCAGGGTACTTTAAAAGGTCTCTGGTGAAATAAACTATTACAATGGAACCTTAAAGTGGTCTGTTTTTCTTTAAATATATATATATATATATATATATATATATATATATATATATATATATATACCTGTTCAAGACTAGGAATAATATATATATATATATATATATATATATATATATATATATATATATATATTAATCCTAGTCTTGAACAGGTTAAGATTGTAACCACTGGAGAAGCAACTGCTTGAGAGTCAGTTTCTCAAAGCGGCGATTTGTGTGAAGAAGTGGTGCTGGAGTGGAACTTAATTCTCACCAATGGAATATCAAGTGAATAAGGGTGGTTGCCTGCAATAAGCATGGCATATTGGGTTTTGAATGTAAAGGTTAGAACTGGTGGAAGAAAGGAGTGTATTTCATCTGAAGACTTTCTTTAGAAATAGTGATAGATCAGCAAGGGTCTTGTGATGTTTCATCTGTTGGGCAGTAGGTCTATATCCCAATGTAGGAGTGTCATAGATAAAGGCTTT